GGGGTTCACTTGCTTTCTCCAGTGGATACTAATGCTTGTGTCTGGGTCCTGGCAGCACTCTGGACTCCACACTCTCCTGGGTTTCACCTTTGTAGCGCGATCCCTGCAGACCAGGCTCATGACAGACACTGTCTCCAGTGGGCAGAGCAAAGGCGGCGCGGCACCAGGCAGTGGTGCAGTTGCCTGTCAGGAAGAAGGTGCAGCACCAGGCAGTGGTGCAGTTGCCTGTCAGGAAGAGGCCGACTTCTCCTGGTGAAACTGGGCAGACAGAAGGCAGTGAGAAATGCCATCTCGGGGTGGTGGAGGCTCTCGGGAAAGGAAAAGGCAGGACTGAACTTCCACACAGTAGCAATGGCCGAACCAAAGGTGGCATTGACCTGCATGAGGGCTCAGATCCAGGCTGGCAGCTTGGCCAGGACGGGGCCGGGTGTGTCACTGGTCCAGGAACACTATGCTGGCAGAATCCCTTCGGTGCCTGATGGTCCTGCCTTTGTGGGAACGGAGGCTCAGGCTTTGAGTCACAGCTGCCTCCCCAACAGCACATTTCCATGTCATCTTCCTCCCCTTCCTCAGCCTCAGGTGGGAGACAGGGCAGGCAGCCCCCCTTTCCTCTTCTCCCCTTCTCCAACCCCCGTCTGTCCACCCAGCCGGAGGCAGCCAGGCTTGCCTATGGACCGGTTGGCAGCCTTCATGCGCAGGTTCTCCACCAGCGCCTTTCTTGGGGGCCCCTGGCTGGGGCTCTGAGCTGGGGAGTGCAGGGGATGATGTGCAGGAGGAGAGTGGCACTGAGGCACCTCACTGAGAGTTTGATACCACAGAACAGCTTTCTCTGGGAGAAGTGCAATCCCGTGCCTCAAAGGCACAGCAGTGAGACAGGACAGCGGTACCACCTAGTGGACACCAATGGGCCCACCTGAGCTGACCCTTTCTGACTTGGGGCCCCAGGAGACAACAGGACTGATGGTGCATCTCTCCCCAGGCCCTGTCTCATCCCAACACCTAGGGCACAAGAGGTTGGGGCAGGTGTCCTTACCCGCTTCATGGTGCCTCCCAGGTGGTGCTCCCCCCAGGCCTTCCTTCACCACTTGGGTAAAGTGCACGGCTGCTCTCCACACAGATGTGAGCTCTGCTGCCCTCTGCCCAGGCTGACCTGGGTATGGGGAAGGGTCTGGAGAGGCAGGGGGAGACCCCTGAGATCCCTCCTCTGGGCATGATTTGTAGGAGGAGAGGAGATCACAGAGAAAAACATCTGCACAGCCTCTGTCATCTCCTTAGTGAAATGAGAGCCCCCATTACTCACACACACGATACCCTTTTTATTTGGCCTTTCCTGACTAGGAAAACTTCTAAACATGGTTTCTTAAACATTTTAGACTGTAACCAGCAGACAGAGATATATTTTCTGGTGAGACTCAGTGCACACATACATATATTGACAATCACACAAGTGTTTCAAGACACTGCTTATAATAAAGCTGCCCAGAAGAGGGCACTGTTGGCAAATCTAGGCCTGAGATTTTTGGTCCTTGCTGGAATATTTGGAGTATTTTAGTTGCAGACCTAGATGTGTTAGAAAGTGGTGACATCCATTTGGTCAGCTATGACTGGCTTTTAAAAGAATAGCACGGTGTAGCACAATACAAACTATCAGTGTGCATCACATGTCACAAAGGTAAGTGCTGTGCTGCGAAACATTTGCTAAAAGATGTGAGTATCTAGAGGGTCTCCCTGTGAAACATCTTTATGACTGTGGGTAAAGATGTGAGTATCTAGGGGGTCTTCTTGTGAAATGTCTTTATGACTGTGGGAAGAATTCACAGAAGTTTGAGACACTGTTTTAGAAGCTTCTTGAAACAACTTCAGAGTGAGAACAGCGTTGTAGGTTTTTGCAGAAAGGAAAGGTGCGGCTGGAGGTGGTGGGAGGGAGCACCAAGCCTCCTCACACCAGGGAGTGTGGGGAGAGTGGCAGCCAGGTCAGCACAGCACGCAGCTTCTGGGGGTTCAGTGTTTTCTTCTCAGGAACAGGATGGGAGGAGTAGCAGAGGCAACTCCTTTTCCTCTCACGTAGAAAGAAGACTCTAGTGAGTAAGGAAAAACATGGAAATATTCAACACCCAGTTCTTAGAGATGGCACCAAAATAATAATTTATAGAAATAAAAACTGATAAAATGGGCTTCATGAAAAGGGAGGCCTTTTGCTCTGTGAAGCATCGTATTGAGAGGATGAAAAGACACACTGCAGACCGAGTGAAAATAACCGCAACCACATATCCAACAGAGGACTTTTATCTGGAATCTATGAAGAACTCTCAAAACTCAATACATTTTTTAAAAATCCCATGAGAAATGAGACAAAAGACATCGACAGACATTTCACCAAAGTAGCTGAACAGCAAATGTGCACATGTAAATATGGTCAGCACCACTGGCCATTAGAGAAATGCACATTAAAACCACAATGAGCTCTCACTATGCCAGTTAGAATGGGTAAGATAAAAAATAACACCAAGTGCTAGCAGGAAAGCAAGAAAACTGAACATCTCATACATCGCCAGTGTGACTGAAAAATGGTACAGCCACTTTAGAAAAGAATTTGGCAGTTTCTTAAAAAACCAAACATGTACTTCCCATGTGACTCAGTAACTGTATTCTTTGGCATTTACCCCAAGGAATGAAAATTCAGGTTCACAAAAATCTGTACATGCATGTTCCTAAGAGCTTTATTCAGAATAGCCTCACAGTGGAAACCACCCAAACATCTTTCAATGCTGAAGGAGTCAACAAACTCTAGGATATCCATGCAAGAGAATACCACCCAGGAGTAAAAATAAATCAACCACTGAT